CCCAGCTTGTGTCAGACACCATCACTCAGCACCTATAGGGTATTTAAGCACCCTGCCTTAGATCGGCCATGTGGTTTTCTTCTGCCCTTTCTCCTGCCTCCATCTCTGGGGACTTGGGGGGCCACCCATGAGCTGCTTTGCCCAAATAAATCTGCTCTTTCACTTTTTCAATTCGGCTTGATCTGGCTTACTGCGTCGTCGGAGAAACCTGTTATTAGGATACAGAAAACCTGTTATCTTGGTGCCGAAACCCGGGACAAGTCTTTGGATACCATTTGATATCTCTTCACTGTGCACAATCTCTGCTAGGTATTAATTCCTAGTGATCAAGGAGCATCCCATAGCACCCTGAACTTTAGGATTCTTGATAGATATCCTTGTCTTGCTACTGACTCACAAATGTCCCCCATTTAGCACTCCAAACACCAACCCCAAGCCTGGTATGTAGCTGACAAGTGACAAATGTAGGATGTGTTGCTGGTTCTGAAGTGAAGATGTAATCAGCTCTTTCTGTTATTTCCAGGGCCATGTCTCCAGAAATGAGAGTAAATGTCCTTGTGCAGCAGGAGGGCTTCTGTAGTGAGGAGACAGGTCTAGGCTTGTTCTTGACCTAAGACACAGCTCCTGAAAGTTTGTGCCATCTTATGGGAAAAGGACCAGCAAGCATCATTATACTCAGCAAGACAGTGGAAGTTTCTTTAGTGTCCACAATTCCTGTGAATCAAGACAGCTAATTATATGGTAGAATTCATTTCTTAAGTCTCGTTCATTTCTCGTATCTTTTCAGCTGCTTTTCTCTAGGACAGCCCCCACTAGGTCAGCTTCCTAGCTTCCTCCCAGATGCTGGCCACATGGAGAGGTGCACGAATGAGGCGTAATGCTTCTCCACTCTCTCTGTGATCGCCTCTGCTCAGTGATTGCCAAGTCCGCAAAGGCCCTTTTACCATTTCATCGTCTGATTCAGGCACCTGAAGTGAACGAACAGGGCAATTACTTCTACCAAGAGGCCTTAGTTTTCGGGGCGGGGGGTGGGGGAACGACATTTGTAATAATCTCTAGATGAGTCCTCGATTTGGCATGACTGATTAAGCAAGCAGCTGCTTATTAAGAAGCAGAGCTGAGAGAGAGTACAACAATTTAATTAGCTTCTGTCTGCTGAGCCTTTAATAGAAGTCACAGCTTGAATATATGGTGCTCTTTGTTTAGTTATAAATGAAACTTTTTTTTTTTTTTTGGCAAAGAAATACTCTCATCATATAACCCAAGAAAAAAAAGAAAATAAGTCTGTTGAAAATATAAAATATTGGGGGTTGGAGATGACTCATCAGTTAAAAGCACTTATCCTTGCAGAGGACCTGGATTTTTTTTTTTTTTTTTTTTTTGGTTTTTCAAGACAGGGTTTCTCTGTGTAGCTTTGCACCTTTCCTGGAACTCACTTGGTAGACCAGGCTGGCCTCGAACTCACAGAGATCTGCCTGGCTCTGCCTCCCGAGTGCTGGGATTAAAGGCGTGCGCCACCACCGCCCGGCCGAGGACCTGGATTCTAATCTCAGCACCCACCTGAGGACTGACAGCCATCCATAACTCTAATACCAGGAGATCCGATGCTGTCTTCTGGTCTCTGCAGGCACCAGGGATGCACTGAGTGTGTGTACTTGCAGGGAAACTACTAATACACATAAAATAATAAATCTTTAAAAAGATGTAGCATATCATTCACTGTAACAAGTAATTCACAAAATCTAAGACTTGAGGGGAATAATTGTTTTTAAACATTATATGTATTCAATATGTGTCTCTGTGTGTGTTTCTATGCAGAAGACAAGCCATGGGAGTTAATGTCTCTCTTGATACCATGTGGATCCTAGGGGTGGAACTTGGTTGCCAGGTTTGGTGACAAGTACCTTGACCCACCGAGTCACCTTTTGAGCCCATACTGCATTCTCTCTTCCTTTTTTCTCTTCTCTTTTTTTTTTTTTGTTTTGTTTCTTTTGAGACAGGGTCTTGTATAGACCAGGTGGCCTTGAACTCACAGAAATCTACCTATCCCTGCCTCCCTAGTGCTGGGATTAGAGGCATTGCCACTGGGAATAAAGGCATGCATTTTCACGCCTGGCCCCATAATGCATTTCTTGATGGTGGATTGTTAGAATGCCTTATTTAGTGTATTATTAGTTAATTAATAATTCACAAACCTGTTAATGTGTGGTAAGTTTTATAACAACTTTCAGGAAACATTCAAGAAATGCTTGTGTATACATTGAATTTTAACGAAGTCTGCCAGCAGCCCATGCTCCAGGACCAGCGTCCCAAGCCTTCAGCAAATCGCCCTCACAATTGTGCTCAGAGCAGTGCTTCCCACCCTCCCTAATGCTGTGATCCTTCAGTACATTTCCTCATGTTGTGGTGACCCCAACCATAATATTACTTTGTTGCTACTTCATAACTATAATTTTGCTACTATTATGAATCGTAATGTAAATATCTGATGTGCAGGATGCCTGATATGCAAACCCCAAAGGGGTCGTGACCTACATATTGAGAACCACTGGCTAGACTCTCAGAACCTTCTGGTTCCTGATTCCATTTTCTTTAATTAGCCCTCCACCTGGCCGCCAGGTTTGCGCTTGCTTTGCCTTTAGAAAGGCACTTTACCTTCCTTACGTCGCACATAATCAAGTACTAACACACTTAGTTGATGTACAAAGCTTACTTTTATGTATTATTTGGTTAACAGTAAGCCTAAGCTAAAAGACCACAAATTAATTTTTCTAATGCCCAGTACACACACATTGAAATAAAAAATATAAAAAGTAAATGAGCAATAAAGTTAATGGAGTCTTACAGAGAAGAATTGCAATATCAGTTTTACCAAGCATACACTCATAGAGAGAGGTAGTGATGGGGAGGGGGTATAATTCATTACAGACATGAATTCTGTCAGAAGGAGCCCTGTGGGAGACCGACTCAAATTATGATGTCCTGGTTGGCAGGGGATGAAGTGGGGTTATTGCTAGCTCAGGCAATGACTTGGTTTTTCTCTGGTGAATTGGCTTCAGTAAGTGACTTTATTTCTTCAAATTAGGAGCTTGAAAATGTGTATTGATTCATTTTCCTCTCATCTGAGGACCGGCCCAGTCAAAGATAGAAACACTCTACTCCTGGATAAGAGCAGATGCCACAGCTCTTTTGGGGCTGAGTGTACCTAAGATTTCTTTTTTCCTCCCTGTGAGACAGGGTCTCAGGAAAATATATGGCTATATGGTTCTGGCTCCTGGATCTCACTTTGTAGATCAGGCTGGCCTCAAAATCATTGTTATCTACCTGCTTCTGCCTCCCGAGTGCTGGGATTGAAGACCTGTGCCACTACGCCTGGCCTTAAGATTTATTTTTAGGAGCCAAATAAAAGTTCAGCCCAGCAACATAGAAAACATACTTCAAGTGTGTGTGTGTGTGTGTGTGTGTGTGTGTGTATGCTATTCTTTTCACTAACTGTCCTTAAAACCCAAAGCTCTTTTTTTTTTTTTTTTAAGTATGATAAAAAAAAGTTCCTGTAAAAGAGACAAAAAAGCGCCGGACGGTGGTGGCGCACGCCTTTAATCCCAGCACTCGGGAGGCAGAGGCAGGCGGATCTCTGTGAGTTCGAGGCCAGCCTGGACTACCAAGTGAGTTCCAGGAAAGGCGCAAAGCTACACAGAGAAACCCTGTCTCAAAAAACAAAAAACAAACAACAACAACAAAAAAAAGAGACAAAAAAGCTATGGAAGTTTTTTGGTCTAAGGAAAAATGTTAACATTACCAATAACTTAAAGTCACAGTGATGTGATTTTTTTTTTTTTTAAAGATTTATTTGATTTTTAGATGTGTGTGTGCTTGTGGGCTTGTGTATGGTAGTGCAGTACCTGTGGAGGCCACAAGAGGGTGTTAGATTCTGTGGACCTGAAATGACAGGTGGTTGAAAGTCACTGGATGTGGGTGCTAAGCGTTACACCCCGGTCCTCTGCGGGAGTAGCGAGGGATGTGGGTGCTAAGCGTTAGACCCCGGTCCTCTGCGGGAGTAGCGAGGGATGTGGGTGCTAAGCGTTAGACCCCGGTCCTCTGCGGGAGTAGCGAGGGATGTGGGTGCTAAGCGTTAGACCCCGGTCCTCTGCGGGAGTAGCGAGGGATGTGGGTGCTAAGCGTTAGACCCCGGTCCTCTGCGGGAGTAGCGAGGGATGTGGGTGCTAAGCGTTAGACCCCGGTCCTCTGCGGGAGTAGCGAGGGATGTGGGTGCTAAGCGTTAGACCCGGTCCTCTGCAGGAGTAGCGAGGGATGTGGGTGCTAAGCGTTAGACCCCGGTCCTCTGCAGGAGTAGCGAGGGCTCATAACTGCTGAACCATCTCTCAGCCTCTATGGTTCTTTTTAATTACTTCTTCTTAAAATGTAAATTTTGTCATCAACATTGTGTCTCATAAAAACAATCAGTTTTTAACTTTGTAATTTATTTTTTGTTTGTCGTTGTAGGCAATGTTCTATGATTTGGGGCTTAAGTATTTCTTAGAAATTACCCGACCAACTCTCAGTTTATAGATGAGAATATTGAGTCAAAGAGTAATCAATTTGTCTAAATAGAATTAAAGCAATATTGTTAAAAGAATAATTTCTATTGCATCAATTGAAATTTCCTCTTAATGTTAAACTCCTAAGATTAGATAAGTTTGAATTGTGATGTTAAAATTTTTTTTTTTTTATGACATGGAGATCTTTAAGGTACTAGGGTACCTTTTAGGTACTTTAAAAAAGTTTTAAATAACAGATGTGTGACACTTGACACACAGATGGTAAATGCGGAGAAACAGGAGGCTTGCAAATTCTTGGTTTATTTTCCTTAGATTGAAATTTTTCTTATATTCTTATATGTGTATTAAAAATACTGAAATAAATGTATACTTGTTAAGATTTTAAAAATATAGTAGGCTGATTGTGCGACAGCAACTTAGGGCCGTCCTTTCTCTTGACAGGTTGAAGAACTATGGAAGCCAACCCCGAACTGGTCGTCGGCACTGTTTGTTGTAGCTTTGCCGTCTTTCAGGTTCTTTTCCATTTTATAAGTTACTGGTTTTCAGCAAAAGTCTCTCCAGGTTATAATAGTCTTAGCATCGAGAAGAAGATTGAATGGAACTCAAGGTAAAGCCATGAAAACATAATGGATTGATTTAAAAATAGTTTTATGAAGTAAGAAAGTCTTCCTTTAGGTTTTTAAAAAAGTTCAAGGTCAAAATTTCTGTGTGGTCTTGGGGCTAGAAGAAAGACAAGATGTCATACAAGGAAAGTTTGAGAATTCTGGCATCAGAAGATGTTGGGGCTGGGGGTGGCTCAGTGGTTAAGAGCGGTGGCTGCTTTTCCAGAGGATCTGGGTTCAGTTCCCGGCACCCACATCCCAGTCCACACCTTCTGTAACTCCAGTCCCACGGGTTCTGACGCCTTCTTCTGGCCTCCCAGGGCACTAGGCACGCATGCAAGCAAAACATCCATATACGTAAAAGAAAATGCTAGGGACAGTTTTTTTTCACTTTTGAGGTAAATTTGGGAGCATTTAGTAGACTCCAGCTGACTCTAGGAAGTTCTGGTTTGCATCCCTCTCTGAAAAATTCACAACAACGAACATGTATTCTTTTGTGGTGATAATGAAAGAACATATTTCTTGGAGTTGTGAATAGCCCGTGCAAGTTAGCCACATGCAATTTGATTGAATTTTACAGACTAGAGGGCAGAGTGTATAATCTATATACCCTGTCATGAACTTCTAATTGCAATTTATAGCCTTCTAGATTTATCCTTTTTTTCAAATTTTTATTATTTTATGTAGTATTATTTTATGTAGTATGGGTGTTGTATGTATGCTTACATGTATGTCTTTGTACCACATGCTTCATGAGTGGCTGTGGAGGTCAGAAGGGGGTGCTGGATCCCCTGGGACTGGAGTGACAGATGGTTTCGAGCCTCCATGTGGGTGCTGGGAATTGAACTCCTGTGCTGTGGAAGAGCAGCCAGTACTCTTAACCACTGAGCCATCCTTTCAGCCCATATATCATTTTTTTTTTTAAAAAAAACCCTCTTCTAATATTTGAAGATAGAAAGAATGCTGGGAAAGATGAGTGGGAGAGATAGAATTTCTGAGTAAATTTCGAACTCTTTTTCTTTTTGTTTCCCTTTCAGTGTGGTTAGAATATGTAAAAGCTTTTGAATCGTGTGTAGCTGCCAGCCAAAGAAATGGGGAGGGTGCAGAGAGACAGAGGCAGACATGAAAATGGAATTGGAAACTACTTTGCGTTACTCAGTCTCATCACCGTTCTGTGATGCAGGAAATTATAACATGTGAAACCAAGTTCTGCTTTGAAGACGGAGTCTGGCCTCATACAAGATTCATTTAGCTGTTCAAATAGCGTTTTCTCGTCTCTCTCTTTCCAGCTTGTATACTTGGAACTTAGAGATGAAGAGTACAAAGGGGAGTTGGGCTGTTTTTAAAGTACATATTTGTGTCTTCAAACTCAGCTTCCAGACTTGACATATGCTCCAAACAGCAGACAACTCTTTTTCGAAGTCTTTCCCTTTGGTGTTTCTTTTTAGCTACTATAGGATCTACATTTTTGCTTTTCCAGGAATATGGTTTTAAAGAGATAAAAATTTCAAATGTTTACCAACAGCAGTTTCTGCAAGTATAGACTTTTATTGTTGTTATTTTGCATTTTTGAGACAGAGGTTCATGTAGCCCAGGTTAGTCTGCAGCTCACTGTGTAGCTCAGAATAACCTCCTGATTTTCCTGCCTCCACCTCCCCAATGCTGTCCCCGCACTCAGCTGTAGAAGTGAAGAGTCTGGTACAGACTGATGGGTAGTTTGGAGTGTCTGCTCAGGATATGGAGAGCTTTTGACTAAATCATCTGAGAACATACCACACTCTCGTTTACCATTTAACCCCTGTTAACACTCAAGGCCTGTGTGACAGAAATAAAATTTAAAAATCAGATTTTATTTTACAAGAAGAAACCTAAATGTTTGTATGCTTTCTGTATATTTGTATGTTTGTGGGCACATACACCATTGCATGTGTGTAGATTTCAGGAGAGTCCCTCCCTCCACCACGTGGGTCCTCCAGAACTCAGGCTCAGCAGCAGGTGCTTTTTACCTGCCGACCCGGCCTGGGAGGGAGCTGAGAAGGAAACGTTTTTGACATACGGTTACTAGTCACTATTTAGGACTTCAGGAGAGGCTATGCTTTCCCCTCAGAGGATTTTGAACAGCTGCAGGAAGCCCTCTGTGTGGTGATTTAGATGCAGTGTTTGAATGCCTGGTGGTGGTGCAAGCTCTCTCCTGCAGCTGCCCTGCTGCGGATGGAACTTGGAGGTTGGAGGGTCGTGTGCCAGTTTAGGCAAGGCTATCAACAGTGTCAGCAAGTGTGTTTCCACTTTAGAACCTTAACACAGAGAAATGATTCCCCCAGAATTATACAACTTGTTCACTTGAAAAGAAAGCTGTGGCCCTATGATTTCTAAATGACTACACTTATTATTATTATTATTATTATTATTATTATTATTATTATTATTACTGTGATGATGATGATGATGATGATGATGATGTTCTCTGACTGGCATAGAACTTGACACATAGACCAGGCTGGTCTCAAACTCACAGAGATCCATCTGCCTCTGCCTTCTGAATGCTGGGATTAAAGGCATGCACCACCAGCCTGGCCCTTAATTATTAAATATGAATGGTGCTGGGGATTGAACCTAGAACCTCATGCATGGTAGGCAAGTGCTCTGCTGCTGAGCTATGCCCCTGTCCCCTCTGGATGACAGTGTTTAGTCATCCTCAGATGTACGCTACTCCCACATTTCACTCTTTCACGTTTAACTTTTAATGCTTCGAGGTGTGAATTTTTCAGAATGGAAAATGTCTTAGAGAAAGAAGTCGTTTATTGCAAGGAATCTGAGATCTGTATGTGTGTTCTGTTTCATTTCAGGGTAGTGTCTACGTGCCACTCTTTGCTGGTTGGGATTTTTGGCTTATACCTCTTCTTCTTTGATGAGCCTACCATAGCTGATCCACTCTGGTGAGCTGTTTCTTTCCCACTTATTCATTTTGATTTATGCTTTGCTATGAATTATTAATAACAGCCTCATTTGCATTACTTAAAAACATTGATTATCTTTGATGTATGCCTTATTGAAGTGCTTCTAGTCAGTCCTACTTCAGCCAACTGTATTAAAATGATTTTAGATGTGAACACAAATGGTGAGGGCCATTTTGCTTTCATATTGCAATTGCTCCCCAAAACAATGAGAGTATGATTAGTTGAGCAAAACCAAGTTACTACAAACACTGTTGTGAGCAAAACAGTGTCATCATGGAGCTCGGGCAGTCAGCTGGAGTAATCACTAAAGACTTGCCTTTGAACTTGTGGGTGACCTATTGTTTGCCATCAGAGAATTGAAAAGAGACATATATGGCCATGCAAGAGGGATTAAACTCACACGAGAAACACTTATAAACATGATGACTGAGTCCATGTAATAATCTAAGGTGACCATGAGGATGGCTCTTCCTGAAAACAGTAAGTATGATTGCAATTGCAGAAATGTTGCCAACTTAGGAAGGCTTAAGTTAGCTTCATGTCAGGGAGAGGTGTGTGGGAAGTACTGACGTGACGTGACTGTGTTCTGTGGAATACAGGACAGTTTAACCAGGTGTTTGGACGACCACCATATGACTACACGGATGCCACCCCTGCCATAAGTGTAAAATTATCCCTTTAGGATCATACTAGCTAATTCATTTTCATTTTCATTAGGATTTTTTTCCCAAAGTGACTCAATTTAGCATACTTTATACCTTGACCAGGTTTTTTATTCTTAATCTAAATAAATTGTAGCTTTAATTCCCCCATGTTAATTTTTTTCTAACATGATTGTAAACAGAACCAGTCCTTTGAGAAGTACATTTTATTAAAAGAGAGGGGGGGGGGGAGGTGGCTCCTTGGTCAAGTTTGGCCTTGGTGAACTTTAACCTAATGTAAATTTTGCTGTTTTTTCCTTTGATTCTGTGATTTATTCCAGGTCTAATTTTCCTGGATTGCATTTACAGGTCAAAATGTAAGAAGAAAATGTGACTTTTCTTCTGCATTTCTATTTTAGTTCAACTATTAACAGTTTTATTTTGTGTTAATTTTAAAGTGATACATATTATAAATCATAAGAAGGGTGGCTTGAGCAAATATGTGTCATCCTAGGCTAGTGCCCAAGCCTGGCAACCCGAGTTTAAACCCTGGAACCACATAAAAGGTGGAAGGAAAGAGCAGACTCCTGAAAGTTGTCCTCTGACACACACACACACACACACACACACACACACACACACACACACACACGTGCATGTGCATGCCTATACTCACAAATGTCATACATATATGCACAACACACATATACTACTAATAATAAATGAAATAAAACATTTTAAAGTAAATTCATTATATTGATATGCATCTGTGACCCTGGTCACAACATCGGGTCAAATTGTCCTGTTCTGATCATATTCTCAGGTAATAGGCAAATCCCTCTCATCCTCAGTACAGTAATATTGATAGGACTGTATTGCTCAAAAAATCAGAGATGAAATAGATGATTTCTTCATTTACTTGAGTCCCTGATTCAAAGTAAAGAATTTTAAAAACTCAGCATATAAAATTCTATTTCAGTCCTTATATGAACAAATCATATGAAAACACATTTACAAGTCTATATGTATATGCATGTGTAAAAATTATGTCTATTTGTGCAGTCAGAAGTATTATCTTAACCTAACACTGTGCTTAGATAGGTTTAGAATGGAGTCTAGAATTGTTATTGACCCACTCCCCACATAGGCCAGTGGGTCCTCAGGCGTCCTCCAAAAGCACATTGAAACTGGTGGATTCTCCCTCTGCATTTAAAGCAAAAACACACCCTGTGTTGTGCCCATGGATTGAAGCTTCTGGAATAGTTCTAAGCACTTCAGAAAATATATCGGCTGCTCTTGACCATCCTTAGGAGCTCTGTTTTTTGACACTGCAAACCCCAGTGTGGATTGGTGTTAGATGGTTTCCTAGATTTCAGCCTAGTTTAAATGCCTACAATCAATGACTAATCATCAGGAAGATTCTAGAGGCTGACTTAGCCTCTGAGTAAACTCTGTGGGAAGGATGGGTAACAGGTCTGTGATTAGAACAGTTGGTACTGTGTTGGGTGTGCTGGTGTATCCTGTGATCCTACAGGGCAAGTGGAGACAAGACCTCAGGAAAGCTAGTGAAGGCTGGCCCTAGCAAGTTTGAGGCCAGCCTGAACCACATGAAGCCTTGTCTCAATAAATCAGATGAAAAAGAAAACTGTCCGAATGTTTAAGAAGATAATGTGGTGGGTTTTTGTTTTGTTTTTGTTTAAATATGTATAGGGGTGATTCAACGCTTGTGAAATTGAATATCGCTACTGCTTCAGGCTACCTCATTTCTGGTATGTGACAGCATTTTTTCATTGCTCGTTACTTGTTAAACTATTCGTGGAGTGATGCAAAGAATTCTATTGTTGAGGCTTTTGGCTTATTTGAAAATTAGCTTTAAGGATCTGTACAGGAAAAAATACAACCTTTAATGGTGGCAAGCCTGAAACTTACTTTTTGACTTTCTTTTTTTTTTTTTTTTTGGTTTTTCGAGACAGGGTTTCTCTGTGTAGCTTTTGCGCCTTTCCTGGATCTCGCTCTGTAGACCAGGCTGGCCTCGAACTCACAGAGATCCACTTGCCTCTGCCTCCTGAGTGCTGGGATTAAAGGCGTGTGCCACCACCGCCCGGCTCTTTTTGGCTTTCTAGATTAAGCAGGTACCACCATGTGGTGCTGTGGACCAAACCCGGGCCTTTGTGCATGCTAGGCAGGCACTCTACAGAGCTGACTCCTCAGCAATTCTGGGATCGTGTACAGAATAAAATTATTATTAAGACTCTCCTAAATAAGATAACAATCCACAAAACACTGATCACACAAAGTAAGGTCACCTCAGTCTCTATGGAATATGTCACAAAATGGTCATAGCTTGTGACCAAGGAAAGTGCAGCCAAAGCATACAGGGAAAATGGATATGTCGAAAGAAAGGTATTCACTGATATTCTTATTTTTCTGATAGTATTTAGTTTCTCTTTAAAATTTACAACTTGAGTCCTCTTTCAAAATGTTTATATCTAGTTTTGTGCTAGTAATGTTTGCTTTTAAAAGTGAAATCTCTATGTCCTAGAGGCTCTAATGCCACAAGTGTGAACCCTCAGTGGCCTTCAGTTTCCCAGGGTACGTTTGATGTTCAACCATTTGCTAAGGAAAATAATTGTGTTAATATTTTGAGCAGTTTCTATTTTGTTAAACTGAACTATTTTCTGAGTCATGATATGTAGACTCAGTCTCTTAACGAGAAATTGATGCCTTCCCTTTATTTTTCTGTTGAGGGCATAGTAAGGTAGTGTACGCCTGCAATCCCAGAATTGAAACAGGAAGATTAGGAGTTCCAGGTGAACCTCAGCTACATAGCAAATTGGAAGCTAGTTGAGCTGCATGAGCTCTCTCTCAAAAATAAATGAATGTATGAATAAGAAAAATTAGTATTTTAAATATGAAGGGATAATTTTGTACCTTTTACTGATATTTTACTTGTTTGCCTTGCTGTAGGACTAAAAATCAACAACTTAAACTTACATTCAACTTACTTTTTGATCGATTATTTTTGTATTTTCAACATGTTTAACTCTGTAAACAAGTAATTTGCTTATACTTCTAGCAGTTGTTAGTACTGTTGGGTATGGCCGGTGGATTCTGAGGCTGTGAAGCTTCCCCTAGCTTGACCTTTGTGGGGAGGGCGAGGCAGGTAAAGGGAGCGGAAGTAGGTGGAGTTAGGGACTTGGAGGCTGAACTAGGCGCTGTGACGTCAGAACGGACAGCCAAGGGTTAGTGGACAGAGGTTAATACTCATAAAACCAAGCAGCTTTTTTCCAATGTGACATCTCATTTCTCTTTCTTGTAGATTTATTGATTATACTTTTGAATTGGAAAGTGATCGGCGACAAGTTTTTTGTAATTCACCATTGTACCGCTCTAACGGCATACTGCTTTGTATTGGTGAGTACCGGCATTCACAGCAGCCTAGCTAGCAGACAAGGCTGGAGAGAGACGCTTAAGGCTGAACATAATTCTAAGCCTGTAAGTCTTTTTGTTTGTTTGGAGACAGGTTCTCTCTGTGTAGTTCTGGCTGTCCTGGAACTCACTATGTAGACTAGGCAGACTTCAAACTCAGAGATCAGCCTGTGCCTCTGCCTCCCAAGTCCTGGGGCTAAAGGCGAGCGCCACCATGCCCAGTGTTCTGTAAATCTCAATTCACGGTGGCCGCATTCAAATGCATGCAGGGATCACTTTTAAGATTAAGTTAACCTTGTTTAATAACTAAAATAAATTCACATGTATTTTTCTACTAGTGTCGATTTGCTTTAGTTTGGTTTTGGTCTTATGAGATGGGGTCTCATGTAGTATAGGCTGGCTGAACTTAATCTTGAATTAACACATTCCTCGCCTTCCCCTTCACACCAATTGCACCAAATATATATTAAAAGGAAAGGCAGTTCATTACATTACAGTCTTGTCAAGGTGATTTAGGGGTCATGTGCATTTCCTTAACGCTTATGGGTTCTTCTCTTTGTCTTTTTGTAACAGTAATGTTAAAAAATTCACAGTAGGTAGCGGTGAGGCTGAAGGTACCATTGGGGTATTTTGGTTTTTGAGAATTTCATGCTTGAGTATACTGTATTAACATCATTTCTATGCCCCTCCTCTCCCACGCAACTCCTCCCATGCCCCCTAAACTCTTGGCCTTCCTGCCTCCACCTCTCAACAGGTGGAGGGATGACATGGGCCACCGCTCCTGACTTGGGGTGTCTGTCTGTACTCCTCAACCAAGTCAGGCAAATGACACTAGTTATTTGAATTTCCACTTAAAAATCCTTAGGACCCTGCAGATGCAGCTACTTGTCTTTCTAGATGCGTTTGTGGTTTAGCAGCTTTGGATATGTATAGATTTCTGTGTGCTGTAGAAAGAATATAAACTGATAAAGTGAACAGGTCCTTTACATGCATCTGTAAGCATCGATATTATGAACCGCTGTTCTGTCTTGACCTCTGAAATCATCAGCTTGGTAAATGGCTGGCTGTGTGTAGATTGGCAAGTTAAATGCTTAATTATATGAGATGAATACTAGTTTCCCCTTTGGAGTTTTATGCCTGCTTTTAAAAAATCAAATGCATGCTGTTGTTTTAAAGGCGAAATTAATGGTTGTCTTATTTAGTGAATTGATAAGTAAGATCCATTGCAGTCTTGCTGTTTTAATGGCTCCTTCGTTATGTTGTTTTACTATGAAATATATCTAAATTGAGTCTGTTCATAGCAAAGCAAAATAAGAGAAAAAGAAATGAAACAATTTTGTTGTTGTTGTTGTTTTGAGACAGGGCATCTCTATGTAGCCGGGCGGCCCTAGAAGTCTATATGTAGTACAGTTGGTCTTGAGCTCAAAGAGATCTGCCTGCCTCTGCTTCCCAAAAACTGGATTAAAGACCCTGTTATTGAACAATTTGCAACCAGAGTTTAGGGCAGAAATATCAGCTCCCACAGCCCAATCAGATCATTTATTAACACCAATGGAAAAGATCAGTGATAGTGAAAAACAGAAAGGAGATGTCATTGATCCGGAGGGGAATGGATGCCCCGAGTTCATCTTCAGATTACTGACATGAGCTTCAGTTTTAAAGAAAGGAAGACTCAGGGCAGGACTGTAGGTATGACTAGGCAGTCCTGGTCAAGGTATAGCCCTTTATTTAGATCACTGTTTCAGAGGTGGGCCTGCAAGCTGGTCCACTGAGAAGTATTCATCCTCACTGTTGAGAGGACTAATCTGGTTACTCGAAGATGATTTCTCCTGCTCAGGGTGGCCTCAATATCATCACCCCTGCCCTCAGTGGGTGGGAGTCTGTCTTAGACTTGGCTGTCACTCTGGGGTAGTTTCAGTCCCCTCTTTTTAAGGGTCCTGTTGTTCCGAAATCCAAGGTGACTGCAAGTTTAGGATAATGACGGAGACCTGTGGGTGTCTTTGGGATCCTGGTGCTTTGTGAAATGCCTGAGGAGACAGAAGGAAAATGAAGGCAGAGGTGTCAGGTCTTCCCTGTGCTTTTAGTTATCTTGTGGACCCAAGGGAGGAGTCAGGGCTTTTTAGCAGAAGCAGTTTCTAAGTGTCTACTATTAATAATCTTACACTTCTTTGAATATGTAAAGGGTTTTTCCCCCGTGCAGTAAACTCACAGCCCATTCTGTTACTCTAAGAAGGCTAACAAAGTAAGAATTCCTTTTTCTGGAGTAAAATGTTACAAAATTCTTATTTATAAGAATCATTATTTAGCCGGGCGGTGGTGGCGCACGCCTTTAATCCCAGCACTCAGGAGGCAGAGGCAGGCGGATCTCTGTGAGTTCGAGGCCAGCCTGGTCTCCAAAGCGAGTACCAGGAAAGGCGCAAAGCTACACAGAGAAACCCTGTCTCGAAAAACCAAAAAAAAAAAAAAAAAAAAAAAAAAGAATCATTATTTAGAAGCACTTTGACTTGACATGTCTGCCACTGTCTAAAGATCTTTTTACTTAAATGATCTTGTTGTTGGAACTAAATAAAAAAGCAGGAGTAGAAGCAGGTTTCCTCCAGGTTTTAAGTATATCCTCTAGTGAAGAAATGGTTTGAATAGCAAGATGCGATTCAAGATATTACAGGTTGTACTTAGGAATTCTAAACACACTTATATATACCTATATATTTATACATATGAATGTTTTACCTACATGTATGTATGCGTACCATATGCATGCCTGGTGCTCAGGGAAGTCAGGCAGGAGTTACAGACAGTTGTGAGCCACCGTGTGGGTGCTGGGAATTGAACCTAGATCCTCTGCAAGAGCAGCAAGTGTTCTTAACCATTGAGCCATCTCTCCAGCCCCTTATACCTAGGTTTTTCAATGCCCTTGTGTATGTGTCTGTGCATGTTGTATGTTTGTATATATATGTGTGTACATGTATGTGTGTATATGCCTGTGGAGGTCAGAGGTGCTAACCCCCTTGGTTTTTGAGACAGCATCTCTCACTGGCCTGGAACTCACCAAGTAGGTGGGCCTGGCTGAGTCCTTGGGATCTACCTGTCTCTCTGTCTCCCCAGGGCTGGGATTCTAAGTTATGTGCCATCAGGCCTGGCTTTTGTATACATTGATGCTAGGTATTGAGTTCAGCTCCTCCTGTTTGCAGTATACGCACTTTACTGGCTGAGCTTTCTCCCCAGCCTTGGGTTAGATAATATTTTGAGCACTCTTTTTGCACTTCCCTCTACCACATTTACTAGATTAATTTTTTTTCCACCAGAGTAATTTAAATCTCGGGAATGCTGCTTCTGTCTGCACAGAGAGACAAACATGTGACAACTTTTTAAGCTCAGCTTTCACCATGCTAAAGGATGCTGATCAGCAAGGGAAGAGAGACAGGTTATCCCTTACTCTGCGGATGTGGGTTGATTTATGTAGCTGGAGTTTTCTCCAGCCCTGCTCAGGCCCGCAGCTGCTCAGACCCAAGTAAACACACAGAGACTTATATTACTTATAAACCTGCTATCTAGTTCTTATATCTTAAATTAACCCATTTCTATTCATCTAGAAGTTGCCACGTGGCTTCTGGCTTATCCGTACATCTTGCTTCTCATGGTGGTGGTGACTGGCAGCATCTCCTGACTCAGCCTTCCACTTCCCAGAATTCTCCTCTCTGCTTGTCCTGCCTGTACTATACTTCCTGCCTGGCCACTGGCCAATCAGCGTTTTATTTATCAATCAATCAGAGCAACACATTCACAGCATACAGAAAGACATCCCCAGCAGATTTATGCTTTGATGCATTTAAAAATATATGTATCTATTTATTTTGTGTGTGGGGGTGTTTTGTGTCATGTATGTCTGTGCACCGTGTATGTGCTTGGTGTCCTTGGAGACCAGATGAGGCATCAGATTCCCCCAGAACTGTAGTTACAGATGGTTGTGATCCACCATGTGGGTGCTTGGAGTCGAACCTGGGCCTCTCTCTCCAGCCCCTTAATGCATTTTTTAAAGGACACTTCCCCATACTGTAGCTGCCCATCCTGATTTCCTTGGTATGCTCAGGTTTTTTTTTTTGTTGTTGTTGTTTTTTTCTTCTTATGACAATGTGCTCAGTTTCTTTTTTCTTATGACTCACTGCATGGTCCAGCCAAACCACACCTGCGTATAATTAGTTACGGTTTTTTCCAAAAACATGTAAACCTGAAAATCATATTGTGTGCATCATTCTCAACTCTGCCTTGTCGCAGGGCCCTGGTGTCTATAGTTGCTAAACCAGTCTGCTGCAGTGTAGGAAGACTTTGCTTTCTGATGGGTCTTCATGAATTTATTTAAAAGTGTGGTGTCTGAAGGGTCAGAATTTCTGTGCAGACTCCTTTTCTTTGTTTAATGCTTTACCCCAGTTTCTGTATTTTAAAAATACTATAAAGCAGTTGTGTATGAAGTCCTATTGAAAGTGGAAGACTTTGTTGTGCCATGCTCACTGAAGTGGTAGTTTTCCATAGACATTAAGGATTAGGAAAAGATTGGCCCTTTTTTATAGCATTCGCAGAAATTTCCAGGGGTTGGAGAGCTGTTGCCCAGTAAGCACGGGGGCCTGAACTTGATCCTCAGCCGTTGTGTAAAAAGTAGACATGGCAGCTCACACTTACCATCCCTGTACCGCGGAGGTGGAGCCAAGTGAGTCCTCTAACCACCTAGTTAGCCAAATAGGCATGTTCCAGACCAGCCAAAGACACTGTCTCAAAAAATAAAAAAAAATAAGGGGAACTGTAACTGCAGAAGACACCCAAGATTGACCTCAAGCCTCTGCATGCATGAACCTGGACACCTGCATACACACATGCATGGACATGCAAACATATACACATCATAAATAGCTCCATACCAGCGCCATGAAATAAATGCCACTCACTAATCTTTTATGGTTAATGGAGTTAGGAAGCAAAATCTTGATTTT